TTTTGTTTATAATTGTTGTTTATAATTTGTACAATTAACCTCCCTGTGGTTCGACCCCGATCTTGTCGGGTTATTTATTACTTCGGCACTCCTGTACTTGGAAGAAGACATCAATCTTTTAGTCTTGTCAGAGAACTCATGCAAGATTTTCTTCATGTAAGTATACAATTTTTTATGTGGCTTTGCAACATTGACCTATAGACATATTGCAAAAATGGCATGGTTCTAACAAGCCTCTTTTGATAATTCTTAACTTATGTGACTTGAATGGCTTCATCGTCAGTCCATTGCAATAGCCTAATCTAGTTCTTACAAAGAAAGTCCATGGTTAACTGCTTCTAGTTGCAAACCACGGAACCTAACACTTCAAGCCATTGGATTCCTAGGACTAAATCTAACCTTGTAAGAGGAAGAGAATAAAGAGTTAAAGAGAAATGAGTGCCTTGTAGGTCCACTTATACCGCTTCAAAATACCCCTTACACTTTAATTTCTCACTATTAGCTACCCACACAATGAAAGTCTTGGTTGGCACCATTGGTAATCGCAACACTTTGGCCAACCTCATAATTCTATTAACACATGCAATGTGATTTCTAGTTTGATGGTTCCTTATAATTCTCTTGGACTGGTTGTTCTTTGTGTCATTGTTACATAAAAGAGTGTTACTGCCATTGTAACCCTCTAACATAAGTATTCATGGCTCTTGACATTTATACCCTGCAATAAAACAATCATTATAGTTAAAACATAAGTTATGAGCTCCCCCTCGCAGTATTTCCTCTCAGGTGAGACACCGCATAGGATTGGTAAGGGTTGGTGGTGCCTCGCAGTATTTCCTCTCAGGTGAGACACCGCATAGGATTGGTAAGGGTTGGTGGTGCGGCTCGATTGATAAGGGAAAGGGCTAGGGAAGTTCTCATTGGTGGCTTAGGTCTGATAAACCTCTTTTATATGTTAGTTGATCATCTTTCATCCAAGATAAGTCGATGACTTCCTTCAAAGTCTAAGGCTTAAACATATATATTCCATCTAAAATATCAGTTTTTATACCACCCATAAATGTGCCCATGAGAGCCTTTTGTGTCTAACCACGTACCCAATTGCCCAAATGCTTGAATTCCCACTGGAAAAAGGGTTTCATCAAAATCTTTGCACTCTAAAGGCACAAAGCGAGCCCAGAGTTCATCTTCAAAAATTGCCCATAAGAGAACACGTCCTTTTTCTTAAATCGTCCTACGAATCCACAACCACAACTGGCTGGCCTCTCCTTTTAAATGGTAAGAGGCCAAAGAGAACTTTTAGGTTTCAAGAGTATTCTGAAATTCAAAAAACTGGTTCACATGATTAAACCACTCCGTTGGATCATCTTTTGAAAATGTGGAAAATTCAAGCCTCGTTGTTTTGAAGGAGACAACTTGTCCCCCATCATGGCTTTCATGGTGTTAGTTGCCTTGGTTTGGAGCTTCCTGGTTTGTAAATAGTACATCAAAAAGATGATTAATAGTTTCAAATGATGCAATCTGTTAGCCATGCCTAGCTCCATATGGTGTAGCCCATCCTCCAATTGCTTAATACGTTCCTTATTAGTTTTCATAATAACCTGACTCTAATATCAATGATAGCTCACATCAATTATTCAAACAATAAGTGAATTGTTTCTCTCTGGATGAGAAAGTACCGCAAGGTTTAGATACTAACTGATTTCCTTCCTGTTGATAACTTTCGATGGCTTTAAATAAGCAAAATCATATACAGGAAGCCTGAAATAGAGAAAAGTTGGAAACTAATAATTAGAGGTTAAAAACATGTAAAAATAAAATGTACCATGTACGTAAATACAAAGCATTTCTAACATAATAAAAATAGCATAACAAACTGAAATAAAAGTGACAAAAAATTCGCAACTATAAGTGATTCAGTCTTGTAGGTGACCTAGTCCACCCCAACATAACATTCTCACTCTCCTTTGTATGCATGTCGCATGCACTAGCTTTTTCACTTTCAACTTCCTAGGCTCTCCTCTACATGTATGCCACATGCAAAGAGCTTTTCATGTCCAACTTTATAACATGTATTTGGGATTTCACCTAAGAGCCTTTGCTAACTGTTATGACTTATCATTTTATATAATCCCTCAAAGAAAACTTCTTATCCACATGAAACACTTGAAAATAAAACAAAGCTTTTGAGTTGAGATTAAAGCTTAAACTCTTAAGTTTTTGTTTTCAAAATTCTTCATATCAATATTTTTTTTCCCTTTGTTTCTTTGATCTTAGTCCTTTTTTTTAATTAATGACATTTTTTTACACTTTCCCTAAACAATTTGGATTTGTTTTTCTTATGTTTTTTCTTTCTTGAAAAATTTATGAACAATACAAAGTCAAAGTCAAGAATATGTTATCAGAATAGTAGAGTTTTGATAACATTCCCATACTTGGTTTTGGATCCAACTTTATAACATGTATTTGGAATTTCACCTAAGAGCCCTTGCTAACTGTCATGGCTTATCATTCTATATAATCCCTCAAAGAAAACTTTTTATCCACATGAAATGCTTGAAAATCAAACAAAGCTTTTGAGTTGAGATTAAAGCTTAAACTCTTAAGTTTTTGTTTTCAAAATTCTTCATATCTATATTTTTTTTCCTTTTATTTCTTTAATATTAGTCCTTTTTTTTAATTAATGACTTTTTTTTACACTTTCCCTAAACAACTTGGATTTTTTTTTCTTATGTTTTTTCTTTCTTGAAACATTTATGAACAATACAAAGTCAAGAATATGTTATCAGAATAGTAGAGTTTTGATCACATTCCCATACTTGGTTTTGGATTGCTTTACTAATTTTAGGATTAATCCAAATTTGATGTTGCGGGTTCAATTTGGATTTGAGATTTGAATCAATGCACACTCACTTGGCTTCTAGCCGATGAATTGAGCTATCCCCTTTCCTTTATCTTTTATCTATTATTTCATTTTCTTTTTTTTTTCTTTTGTTTTTTTTCTTTATTTTCAAAATTCACAATGATACGTCAACATTGTTAAAAACTCATAAAATAATAAAATCTTCCTCTTTCTCTCCCTCTCTCTCTTTGTCTCTCTGTCTCACACACACACATAACCCTTTATAATTAATTTGAATTGTAATAAAGTTTCTCAGTTATCGTCTCCTCATCTCTAATTAAATAAGATATTTTATGTACTTAAATAGAAATATTTATGTTAATAAAGGCAAAATGTAATCTCTTATATAGGTTTTGGTGTGTCATCTAGGAAACTACCCCCACTACCCACTTCTTGAATGCACCCTTGTAGATTTGGACTGTTTTACTAGTAACTAAAAGGCAATACAGGGAAAACATTAGACTTAATTAATTTATTTCAAATTAAAAACTTACGTGAATCCTGTTACAAACATGAAAATTGAATTATACATTAAATGAATTAAATAGAATTAAATTCAATTCTATCAATGGATTGTTCCTCATCATGCTGATGGCAGTAAAGCTTCACTCATTCACTTAAAGTTGCAATTCCATATACATATACATACATATATCCACCACCAACATCACAATTGGTCAACAATATCCACTGTCATCTCTATAGTCATGTTTGGATTAAGCAGACGAAGCCCTAACAAGAGGTGAATTAGCCTGTCCTGCTATGGCAAGCTCGAACTGCTTCGAAGTTGCAGATTGAAGAGAAAGTAAATCGGTAGAAATGAGATTGTCCCAGCCCTGAACGGGGTTAGTATTTGGTGAGTCATCCCACCCTATGTGTGTCACATGCTTAACATTTGTTGGCAGCCCAATTTCCATTTCCACTTCCAATTCTTCCATCTCTTCCTTGTACGCTAGAAAAGATAAGGACCATTAATTATAACTAGAAAACAAGACTCTGCGTATGTGCGTATGCACATGCAAGTGTGATGAATAACCATATAATTGAGAAAAAGGTCACATATAATTGAGAAAAAGGTCACATTGGCTTCTAGCAAGCAAGGACACTCATATAGGTTTATTAATTTTACGTGCAGGTACCTAGTTTCTTTGTTTTTAAAAAAGAAAGGAATGAGCTGAAACACTTACCAAATAACTGAGGAAAGGTCTTCAAACCCTTGACTAGCTTATTAAACCCAGTGGATACGTTGGGCTTTGAAAGAGCAAGCAATTTCAACGAATTTTTCGTACTTTCTGTGCTTGATGAGCTCTCCTCGTCTTCTTCTTGTGTTCCTTCTCAAAGACAAAGAAACATAAATCAAATAATCAAGTTTGCAGAGATACGAAAGAACCAAAAAAAAAAACGAAAAAAAAAAAAGAAAGGTGATAACAATCTTGTGAGTGTGTGTGTGTGAGAGAGAGAGACTTGATGCAGATAAGTTTGTGTCTGTCTTTGCTCTTTTAGTTTGGTGCACGCCTATGGCCACACTTGACTCAGAGACGCAACCAATGGAGAAAGGAAGAAGAACAAGCCTTTCCATTCTGTCTCTCATTTCGACATGAACAAGCCAAGAAACAAAAATATTTGAACTGAGCGCGAGGAGGAGTGAGAAACAAAATAGAGTGGTTGATGAAGGACAACCCTACAAGCTGGAATTGGTTTGTTATAATGGTCAGTAGTGATGGCTTTGGCATCAAGCCACTATACAGGATGCTGTTAAGCTGCACTTACGAGTATAGTTTGGTAGGGAGTAGGGAAAAATTAAGAGAGGAAGAGAAATTAACAGATCCAACACACGTAGTTGTTTTGGACATCCAATCAGACAAATTAGGTAGAACTGCTGTTTTTGTCCCAGTCTCACTCAAAACAACCGGAAACCTATTTCCTTTCAGTTCACGGTGGCTTAATTCGAACCTTACTTGCCACTCTTATGCATCAAGATACCATTTTCGTAAAACCCTATATTTTGCTTTTCTTTTGTTACTTAATTTGTACTCTACACCAAACTTGTGGTAGCTAGTACGTGCAGCTTAAGCAATCTTTCCGGTAAAATTTGAAATTAGCTGCTTGCCATGGAGACCAAATTTCACCTTCTCTTGATTCTAAAGAGGAAAACCATGATTCTTTGTTAGAATAAGAGCTACAAATTTGTTGGGAAAATGATGTTCTTCGAACGGTGACAACATGGTTCTGCAATAGCTAGCGGCTCTCATTTGAAAAAAAATTCTTTTCACAAAAATAAATAAATATGAACACCCGTTAAAATTGAACTAAAATTAAAAGGGAACAGGAAAACATGGCACTGTTGAGTAAAAAATAAATCGATTTTCCTTTTTCCTTTCTAATTTTCTTTTTTTTTCAGTTTTTTTTCTCCAATATAAAATAAAAATCATGTTCATTTAAAAAAAATTAAATAGAACATTTTTCCAACTTTAAAAGTATAAAATTTGTTTCATGTATATTTTGTTATTTGGAGAAAAATAATAAAAGATAAATTGTCTTCAAATTAACCGTATTTTCTATGATATTCTGTACATCATGACTAGGACCAATATTTTTATCCATGTCTTAAATATAGTCTTAAATATAATTTTAAAACTTGACCTAATAAATTGACTCGAGATCTAGACTATTCATAGTTAAAAACAATATGGGTTAAAGAATTCACCTAGACTAATTCATTCAAAACTAGAGCATTGATTTGTTTGAAGAGAAAATGGTTTACGGAATAAATCTTAATTTAAACAACAAAACTCTACTTCTCCCACTTTAAAGGTAGGAATTGGATCGTAGATCTCACACATTTATCTCTGTAACATCCTTTCTTACAAGTTACTTCCGAACAAGCATTTTGTTTTTATTTCATTTGAATCCATGATTTTTTTTCCTTAGATTCTCATACCTAAATCCCAAAATGAATAAAAAAAAATGTAAAAGAAGTAGCTCACAATGATTTATGACAAATTTTAAACATTACTTATTGCTCAACAACTTAAGCTATTAAATATGCAATAGAGCGAGTTGCAAGGTGTTGTGCAATAGAGCGAGCTGCAACGATGTTGTGCAAATAACAACTGATTATAATCTGCAAGGATGTTGTGCAAATAACAACTGATTATAATATGAGTTGTGAAGAGCAAATCTTAAAATTTTGAAATATAATTTATGTTATTCATTCATATGAAGTTGAGAGAATATTGACATGACTAAAAGATTGATGTTTTCTCCCAAGTGCAGGAGTGTCGAAGTAATAAATAACCCGGCAAGACCGGGGTCGAACCAAAGGGAGGTTAATTGTATAAATTATAAACAACAATTATAAATTCTCATACCTAAATCCCAAAATGAATAAAAAAAAATGTAAAAGAAGTAGCTCACAATGATTTATGACAAATTTTAAACATTACTTATTGCTCAACAACTTAAGCTATTAAATATGCAATAGAGCGAGCTGCAAGGATGTTGTGCAAATAACAACTGATTATAATATGAGTTGTGAGGAGCAAATCTTAAAAATTTGAAACATAATTTATGTTATTCATTCATATGAAGTTGAGAGAATATTGTACATGGAAAAGTAGAAATAAAGAGAGAATCCCATGGACCTATATAAAAGTCCCAAAAAACATTAAAAAAATATTTACCTCCAAAGGTATAAAAAAATAAATTACAAACATAGAGGTTGAGGAGATAGAGATCAAAACAAAGATAATTGCATTAAATACACTATTACTATTTATAGACTTAAGCCTTTTTAGGGGACTTGGTAGACTTGGAAGGCAATTTGGGCTCTTTTGAACACTCATGTAAAATTACTTTAAAATACATCCTTAATTTTTTTCAGGTCATTTCATATCTTCTCCAGTATTATCACTATTATGTATTCCTATCTTAACATCAAATAAAAAAAATATTACAGTGAGTGTAAACCCCTGACCCAAAATTGGTGGATAAGTGTTAAATAGATTAATTTCCAATTGAAAATGATAAATTTGGAGGGAAAGATTATTAAGACCATGTTAAGAAATCTCCAATGAATTTACTTACTTAGATCTCGTATGAAATAAACTAATAAATTGGTATGCAAAACGGTAGCTAATATAAATTGTGTAAACTCTTCAATAAGGTAAAATAATTATTTTAAAAATAGAGTTTATGTGAATAGAGTGAAAAATGTTTACGGAAATAGAACAAAAAACCAAATAAATTACTATATGATTTTACAAACAAATAACATTAATCAGAAGTTTAATTTTTGTGTATAATTGCACAACCTATAATTGAAAATGATGAAAGTTCTAGAAAATTTTATTATGATTAGAGGTATAACTCCCTAGAAAATTAGTTTAAAAATATCAATGGAATTGAATAATAAAGTGATTTTACAAGCAAATAACGTTAATCGCAAGTTTAATTTTTGTGTATAATTGCACAACTTATAATTGAAAATGATGGAAGTTCTAGAAAATTTTATTATGATTAGAGGTATAACTCCCTAGAAAATTAGTTTAAAAATATCAAAGGAATTGGATAATAAAGTTGTATGTAAAAGTAATGATGACTGGGTAGTTTATATAAAACAACACATGGACTACATGCGATGAATTTTTTGTAAATAAAGTAAGAAAGCTTCCTCATCCCTGTTTATAAAATTTTTGCCATCCATAAAGAAGAAAGGTTTGATATTTTCACTACATTTTCTTCCAAAAACTCATGTTATTATCTCTAAACTTGGTCATGGGTATATGGTTTTAGGTAACTACTAGTGTTGAAAACAAGTCATGTAGAGAAATTAGAGAGTTTGGGATTGTGAAACTAGAGAGAGAAAGTGGTGATTTTGAAGAGTGAAGAGAGGGAGAAATAATTGTGGTGGAATTGATAACAAAGCATCAAATTGGGTTCAAATGTAAGGGGCAAATCCATTAGTTATTTCACTCTAAATTGTCTTGTGCGTTAGGAAGAAAGAAATCCCTAATTTTAAGGTTCATGGAGAAATTTTGTAAAAAATAATTTTTAGATAGTTATAAGTTTATTTGGCATGAAAAAAGTGATGAGAATGATGAAATTAAAAGAAAAATGGATTGAAAACAATGACAAATAACTTGTCATATGGTCAGCCAAGGTGAAAAATTAGGGAAATGAGAATTTTGTTTTATTTTATGGTATTATATGTTTATTAGATTTTTTGTATTGTGTAATTTTGTGTAGGAAAGGTTTTTTGGGTGAATATGTAAAGTTCATGTTGTATATGTGTTTGGAAAAAGTTGTAATGAGGGATTTTTGTGATTATATGATAATGAAATGCTTATGGCTTGATATAGAAACCTTAGAAATTTTAAATGAAGTAGAATGTTTGATGGAATGAGTGTTTAGCATATTGTCATATATGTGTTGGAAAAATATAGTTATCGGAATGGGGAGAATTAGGTGGAATCTTGAGAAATGATATGTTAATTTTATGTGTATGTGTGATATAGTGATGAATGATAAGTGTGTGGATTGAAAGTGTAAGTTGTATTATAGGATTATGTTGGGAAGATAAACTATATGTTATGAAAGTAGGGAAAAAGTGTTTAGCATATTGTCATATATGTGTTAGAAAAATATAGTTATCCGAATGGGGAGAATTAGGAACATAAACTATATGTTATGAAAGTAGGGAAAAATATTGAAAATTATATCTTCAATTGGTAATTAAGGTGTATTTTGCATTTTGTGAATACTAATTAAATTCTTAAAAGTGTTGAAATTGACTAAATAAGAAAATTTTATAATTGTTAGATTACAAAGTTATTAATAGGTTAGAGTGAGAAAAAATCTTGGATAAAATATGATAAGGTGAAGATTGAACTTAAAATGGTTGGAAAGCATGAGAAGTTAAGCTTGAAATTTTGATGTTTTGTGTCAATTTATGAAAGTGGCATAAGAGAGGAAAACAACTAGAGTGAAAACATATAAATTTTTTAAAATAAACTAAAGGAAAAAAATTGTACATTAGGTCTAGTCATCTAGGAAGGTTTTTGGGGAATAAGCTAAACAACTAGAGTGTTGGTACAAGGAAACTCTACTTAGGAAAGATTTTTTGGTTAGGAGTGTGAAGTTTTGTGCTATATATGTGTGAGTGAAAAGTGATAGATTAAAAGTATGTATGATCTATAGTAATGAATATTACTAGTTAATGTAAAGGTTTTATAAATGAGAATTTAATTAGAATTTGGATTTGAATAAAGAATTGGCATGTTATGCAATATGTAAAAGTGAGCGAGTATAAATTTTAGAACTTTGAGATAGGTAAATAATTAATTAAGCAAAACAGAATAATAAGTTAAGATATGTGAAAATAAATGAGATGAAGAAAAATGTTCAAGTTGTATGTGAATTAACTAATTAGCTTGGGGATTGCATTTATATTATCTTAAATAAAAGTTGAAAATGAGTAATTATGATAAATTATAAATGTTGGCTGAATTGAATAAATGATTAATTTGTAAGTTTTGAGGAATTATTATTAAAATGAATGTTATTGTGATATAAACTTAAAAATTATAGTGTGGAAATCTTTGTGTTGTTGAGTCGTGAAACATTTAATTATATAATTAAGATAAATTGAAGTAAAATTATTGGTTGGGAATATTGTTAGCATAAATGAAAGATTGAGAAAATTGGGTTATGTTGAAAATTTAAGCAAGAGAGATTATTATCATGAAGTACCATGTACAAAAA